AACACACCAAGCTCATGGGGAGGCCTCCAGCTCCCTGCCCTGAGCTACTTCCTGCTTTGTTTTCCCCGCTTACATCCTCCCTGTTAGTTGCTCTCCTGGTCATCCATTTGCCACAGTAATGTCTGTTGCTGTGGCGGAGGCTGCTCTTCCCATATTTGGTCAGGAGTTCCTTCCTCTCCCATGATCGGCCTTGTCTGAACTGCTCCCCTGGCTTTTATACTAGGCCTGCAGTTGGAGCATGCCCAGCAGGGTTATGGGGGTGGGGTCTTCTCAGCCCAGCAAGCTTGGTTAACCCCTTCTGGACCAGTGCGGGGTTGATACACTCTGTCACATGGTGAAATAGATGGAGCTGGAGACCTGTGCGAATGAACAAGAGCACACCGACAATGACAGAGATGGCGGTGCTGATGAAGCATGGACTAGAGTTGGCATATGGTGCCATGCATATTCAGGTGGTGGTGCTGAGGCAGAATGCGCCATGGTCGGTGCTACTGATAGCATTAGAGATGATGTCTTTGGTGGGGGCGTGTCAATGTAAGGTTCCTTAGGTGCTGCATGTGGTGCCACCTTCTTTGTCATTTTCTGTGGTGATTAGCCAGCATCATGGATTTAGCTGGTGCCATTGGTGCTGATGTTTCTGCCTGAGTTCCGAATTAACTCTCTCTTTTGTGGCACCAAGTGCTTAGGTGGTGTCAGAGGTGCCGGGCTTACTGCCTACACTCATTCTAATTGAGCTTTGTGCTGAGGTAGTAGTTTTGCTGGGGAAACCCGGGTTTCACTTTCAGTTTGTCAGACAGAGTAGAGGGATGATCTTTGTCCATACCTCTTGATTTGACTGATTCCTTACCTCAGTGGGGAAAATCGTCACATGGTGGCTCAAGCAATTTTTAACATAAGTAGCAGCCTATTGGCGTGGTCATATCATACTCTGGACATGAGACTTGAGCAGTGGGCACACTTTGCCATCAAGTGGGCCTCCCCGAGACACCATATGCTTGAGGCATGCCCATCTGAGATTGGCATAGCCTCCTGGAAGAGTCCCAGCATTTAAAGCCTGGAGAGCCAGGAATGGGGGAAAATGGGGTGACAAACAAAGAAAAACTGTTTTGGTTTTTTTGAGGAAAAAGATTATTTGGGGGGAGGGAGTG